TTTATGAGTTTGAAAAAACTTTCACTATGCTAGTTTTTTTTTATTAGCGATCCGAGTCAGACGAGACAGATTGCATTGTCGATTTTGATTGGCTTATTACATCATCTTCATAATATGCAGGGTGACATTCGTGTAACAAAGAACTGTGCCACATAACTCATAACGAAATGAATAAAAAAAGTAGTTTGTTTGTACAACATATATGCATAACCAATCAAAAAGGTTTTATGCTTTTTGATAAATGCGTAATGACAGCTTTTTCACATGCAAGAGAATTTTCCGAAGATTTTTTTTTGCCGATAAGGGGAAAAACATTTTAATAATAGTAAAATTTCATAAAAAAAAAAAAAAAAAAAAAAAAAAAAGAAAGATTTTGAAACACATAGCACACGATAAAAATAATCAACCAGCACTTAAAATTGTAACCGAAACATAATCAAAAAAAGATAATTTCATTTCGAACGTTGAAATTGGTTAAATGAAATTTTCGAACTACTAATTTGACAAAGATAGCCACCTAGATAATCATGGAATAAATGGAATTGTTCTGACCTGAATCACGAACACAACGTGAATCACATGACTCGAAATCATTTGATCCAATGCATTGTAATCTAATCGTAATTACAGAATTAAGTCAATTCATTCACAATACTTAATATAAAATAAGAAACCTGTAAATTAAAAATTAGAATACTAGAATAAAACCATTTATAGTTGATCAAACTCGTTCCATACTAAAAGAATATCAAACTTTTTGCCTTCATTTTTGTAAGAATCAATAATACTCCAAGAAATTACGTAAGATATTCAAATTAGTAATGTACACGTGTTTGACTGATGTGGACCATTACCTCCGGTTGGACTTGTACAAATATACCAATATTGAATGGAGATATGATATCAGTTTAGTTCTAAGCCATAAGCCATTGTCTAGATATTATTAATTCAAGTTGTGAAACTTGTATATTAAATCGGTTTCACGAAAATAGAACATCTTAAGGCTTTGATGCTTGTGAATCCTATAATTTCATTGGTTTCATCCAGATTGAATACGTAAAGTCTCGCTTGGTACTTTGTGGTATTTTGTACGTGAGTCGCACACTAGCTCACATTGGGTATTATGCACGATGTATAATACTAGAATCACAATACAGATCACAATGTAGGGTGTACATTATTTCTCAAAGACAACAGATGCATCAGAGGTTCATAACTGATATCATCTATTTGTATCGTTGGCACCGTTGGCACATACGAAAGACGCCCAACATAATAAATATAATTCGTTTTATCTCCAAAAAAGTATGTATTACGCATTCATGCATGCTGTACTTGCAAGATTATTAACACAAATAATGTAAGCCAATTACAATTGGCAGGTTGTTAAAAGTTCAAATTCCAAATTCACGCCAAATATAGCGATAGGCGTTGTTGCATTTAATTACATGGTCAAGAATTATTTAGACACCCTTCAGCCTGTTAAAGTCTGTTAGTTCGGAAGAATAAATGAAATAACTATCTTTTAACAATTCCTAGTTATAGCTGTTGCTGTTGCTATATATTTAATAATTTAAACCCATCTAAGTTTCACGTGTACACGTCGATTCTTAGTTCTGCACGATAAATTTTTAGTTTCTTAAGGTTAAACATGCACACGTATTTCCTAAAATTAATCTAATAAAAAAAAAAATCCAAATTCGGTCTTATACCATTTTAGAGCCACATTACTTATTTAAACCGATTAAATGCTTTCAATAATTATATAATAATAATAATAAAGTAATAACAAAGTAACTATTGGACGATAATAACGTTATCTTACATCAATGATTGAAGTATCTAAAAGTTGCTCGATTCAATCAATGATTTACACCCGTACTACCGTGTCGATATACCTTTTTTACCCACATAACGATAGTCTGCCTGATAAACAATTAAATGGATATCTGATATTTAATAATTCTGGTCAAAATCGACGATCATTCTATCAGATTGAGTCACATGACCAAGACCTGGCCAATAAGATCAGTAAATTTGGTAGGATTTATGAATTACCATTTACCGGTTTACCAGACTAATCCAGTATGATCCTATGGATGACCTTTGATAACCGATTTACGTTTAAAGTTTAAGGAAGCTCAAGGACTATCACAAGCAATGGATTTGATAATCAACCTATTCCTAAACGAGAATGCTTATGCACTTGTAATTGAGCAAAGTGACATCTTGACAATCAATGTTAATATTCAATAAAACTGTAGATCAATGCTATATAAATCGGTTATGAATGCGGCGGAAATTCAACCTTCCCTTTAAGGTAATTTTTATGCATATTGCTTAGATTTGCAATAACGTCAAAAAAAGCATAATTTTAGAATTGATTGGCGGATAATGCCAAAATACGAAAGCAAAAGCAAGAATTGTACATATTATAAGCCATTCAGGATTGGTATAGTGGATTTTATAAAATTTCGCTTCTAAACATGATATTACATAATTGTTTGAAGTGTATGAAGATTCCAAATTCGAGCTAACCGACTGCTAATCTAAATTAGTTAATTATGTAAAGTTTTAAGTGCAGCTTTGCAAATGAAAGCGCCGTATGTGTAAGTGTTTTCTACGTACTGTCATTTTATCATGTTTCAAGTAATTTAGTGCACATGATTTGTTTGCGTATAATGCTATATAATAAGCTATAATAAACTATAAAGGCGAAGGCTTCCTAATATTGCAAATATCCAAAAATCTACAAATATAATTTCAATCTTTCGTTGACATCTTCGTTGACATTTTCGTTGACATCTTCGTTGACATCTTCGTTGACATCTTCGTTGACATTTTCGTTGACATTTTCGTTGACATGATAGCAAATTTCTATCATGTTTATGTGTTTATGCTAAATGAATATTCAAACCTTTAGATTCAAATAAATTTAATTAGTGCACATATTTTAATTTTAATCTTATGTACACACTTTTACCTTCATACACACTTTAGAAATACTTAATAAACACTCTTTATTTCTTGGCAAAAAAATAGTCAAGAAATTTATTTTAAATGCATTATTTTTAATGCTTATAATTCAGTTGTACACACACTGTTTTTGTGTGTTTATTAGTTAGACACAACCTTTATACACATATCTTAATTTTGAATCATTGCACTGTTATTATTACTGTATTATATTTCTACTCGTGTCTGTTGTAGATGGCTTGGAGATATTATGTATTTTTATTTGTTTATATTTCTAAACTTACGAATTAGTTTTATGTACGGTAGAGTTTTATTATATTGTGTTGATAGATTTACGTCATATCCTTTATCCCTGTCTTTTAGTAGTTCGGGTAGATCATGCATGTGACGAATGTGACGAAAATAAGCGATCGGGTAAATGAGTCTTTTGGGGATTATTGGTTGGGTTATAAATATAGTGAATATTAGATATAGTGAATCTTAGTTTTATTTTTTATATTACAAAAGAGAATAAAAAATTATATTTTCATATCTGATATAATCTTTTTCTAATGAACTTGTAGTGAATTGTGATTAAATATAGTATAGGTGATACTAGTGGTGATCTGATTGGCTCACTAGGGTATGTGATCTAATATGAAGTACGCGTACGTAATATATATTTTATTCATAAAATTGTGTCGCACTTTTTTAGATGCATAGGTTGTACTTTCTTTTTTCATCGAAAGTTTTAATACAAAGCGATTTTTATTCATTACGAAAATGGAAAAAAAAATTTTTCCTCTTACCTATTTTAATTCTATTTTTTTACTTGATTTGCGCGGATAAGTTTTTAAATTACAAGTAAATTATTTTGTATAAAATATAATTTTGCTCTATAACTTTATTCTTTGAACCTTAATGTTGATCTCCTCAAAGTCTCGCTTCAAAATTATTTTTCGTTAAGGCTGTGCATCTAATTGAACTTCGATCTGGTTACACAACAAATCTGATATTAATATGATACTACACATAATTTTGATTTACATAGAATAACGCACACCCCATTGGCTCACGGTTAATGTTAACTAAGCCGTGCCGATTCTTATGCTCTACAGACCAGGGACAAGCTATTTATAAGTTGACCAACCTCGAGCCAGCCGTGCCGCTTTTCTAAGCCAAACTAATATTCGTAGACGATGCCTAATTCGAACTGCAAATAAGAATAAACTAAATTTTATTTAGATTTGAAAACCCCGTTTTTTACTTTCGAATATATGTACAGTCAATTCTCCGTAAATGCACCCCTTGGAACTATAGGCAAAACTTTTTAAAAATGCGCATTTAGAGAGGGTATGCATTTATGGAGGGCATTTTACAGTATTAAGTGCTCTACATGCTTGGTACTGAAGATTAGTATCCATTTAAAGAGTTTATACATAGTGCATGTATTTATGGAGAGTGCATTTATGGACTATATATGAGTGTCGCTAAAAGAAAACCCGAAAATTTATATATGACCTATATTTAAATTTTCGGGTTTTCTTTTAGCGACACTTATATATATAAGATATCAAAAAAATTTATTGCAATAATTATTGGCTAATAATTATGTGTTTAAGAGCTATCAACTCACGGCTTCAGGGTTGGTTTCAGAACCTCAATGCATTTTAAAACTAACACATTATAAATAAACTAACCAAGCCGTTAAGCTTGGTTTAACCATTTTGTTTATGGTTTAGCTTAAACAATTTGTATTATTTTAAATCAAAATAATTAATTAATATTTTAGAAATAATCTAGATGTCGCCGCCGGTGACAGTACCGGGCACGTGACAGACTTATAAGATTAGTTAATCACGTTCAAGATTGGCGATCATATAAGTAGCAATTTTTTTTTTGTTTTTCTTTTTCTCTTTTCCTTCGTTCTTTCCTTTCCCTTCGTTTCTTCTTTTTCCCTTCGTTTCTTCTCTTTCCCTTCGTTTTTTTCTTTTTCTTCGTTCTTTTCTTTTTCTTTATTCCTTATTTTCTTTGTTCCTTTCTTTTCATCGTTCTTTTCTTTTTTTTTCTTTTTTTTCTTTTTTTTTTTTGTTCTTTCGTTTTTCCTTCCCTTTTTTTTCTTTTCTTCTGCTTCTTTTCCGCTTCTTTTTTTTCTTTTTCTTCGTTCCGTTTCTTTTTTTTTTGTTACTTTTCTTTTCTTCGTTCTTTCTCTTTCCCTTCGTTTCTTCTCTTTCCCTTCGTTTCTTCTCTTTCCCTTCGTTTCTTCTCTTTCCCTTCGTTCTTTTCTTTTTCTTTATTCCTTTTTTTTCTTTGTTCCTTTCTTTTCTTCGTTCTTTTCTTTTTTCTTTCATTCTTTTTGCTTCTTTTTTATTTTTTATTTTGTTTTTTCGTTCCTTTTCTTTCCTTCCCTTTTTTTTCTTTTCTTCCGCTCCTTTTTTTTTCGTTCCATTTCTTTTCTTTTGTTCCATTTCTTCGCTCTTTCTCCTTTCACTTCGTTCTTTTTCTTTTCCTTTGTTTCTTCTCTTTCCCTTCGTTTCTTCTCTTTCCCTTCGTTTCTTCTCTTTCCCTTCGTTTCTTCTCTTTCCCTTCGTTTCTTCTCTTTCCCTTCATTTCTTCTCTTTCCCTTCGTTCTTTTCTTTTTCTTTATTCCTTTTTTTTCTTTGTTCCTTTCTTTTTCTTTGTTCTTTTCTTTTTTCTTTCTTTCATTCTTTTTGCTTTTTTTTTTTTGTTCGTTCCTTTTCTTTCGTTCCTTTTCTTTCGTTCTTTTTCTTTTTTTCCCTTTTTTTCTTTTTTCCGCTCCTTTTTTTCCCTCTGTTTTTTTTTTTTTTCTTCGTTCTGTTTCTTTTTTTTTTGTTCCTTTTCTTATCTTCGTTCTTTCTTTTTTCTTTCGTTCTTTCTCTTTCACTTCGTTTCTTCTTTTTTTTTCGTTCTTTTCTTTTTCTTCGTTCTTTTGTTTTTCTTTATTCCTTTTTTTTTTGTTCCTTTCTTTTTCTTCGTTCTTTTCTTTCATTCATTGTTTATTTTATTTTATTTTTTTTTGTTCTTTCGTTCCTTTTCTTTCTTTCCCTTTTTTTTCTTTTCTTCTGCTCTTTTTTTTTCGTTCCGTTTCTTCGCTCTTTCTCTCTTTCCCTTCGTTTCTTCTCTTTCCCTTCGTTTCTTCTCTTTCTCTTCGTTTCTTTTCTTTCCCTTCGTTTCTTCTCTTTCTCTTCGTTTCTTCTCTTTCCTTTCATTTCTTCTCTTTCCCTTTGTTTCTTCTCTTTCTCTTCGTTTCTTCTTTTTCTCTTCGTTTCTTCTCTTTCCCTTCGTTTTTTTTCTTTTTCTTTATTTCTTTTTTTCTTTTCTTTGTTCCTTTCTTTTTTCTTTCATTCTTTTTATTCCTGTTTCAGATCTTTTTTTTTTTCTATTCTGTTTCTTTTTTTTTTTTTG